CACGTCCTCTTCGGCATACCAGACTTTGTCTACAAGGATCATCCAGAGATCTATCCTCTCATGATGGACCTGGTCGCTGCCGAAGCGCAAAGCCTCTTCGAATCTGGACTATTGATATCCAACAAGAGGTATCACGTGGCGTTCATTGGGTGCAAAGGCGACATGAAGCACCATGCTCAAGTCGTCTTCAACTTGAGAAGGTCCTATGCACGGGTGACTGCAGCGGGTGACCAGGGCATCTGCTCGATGTGCCAAGCAGGAGAGAGTGGCTTCCCATGGGAAGACATCAGTTCCGACCCTTTGTGGTCCAGAACTATGTATGCGAGCAGACCATGGGATATCGCTCCACCACTCTCCGCAGTGCCATTCGATGAAAGCGCACCAGAGCGCTTCATCCGACTCGACCTTTTTCATGTCGTGAAAGTCGGTATCGCTCGCGACCTGGCAGGAGGCATTGCGCTGCTGTGTCGTCTCAGCTTCTTCGATGCTCCGGGCGACTACACCAACATTAACGACCGACTGCACCGGGCTCACGCTTCGTTCAAGCTTTGGCTGAGTGCGAACAATGAATCTGCTGCGCTTCGCTACTTCAGCCCTGCTTTGTTCAACCTGCAGAAGCGCCTGACAGACTTTGCTTGGACAAACACCAAGGCCTCGGACACAGTACTGCTGGTGCGGTACCTACACTGGTTCGTGTCGGTGGAGCTGACGAATCCTTCGGAATCTGGGAAGCAGCACCGAAAGCTGCTCCGACTGCTACAGTCGGCGACGAAGCATCTTGGCACAGTCGCCTTAACTGAATACTGAAATGTAAGTTAACCAACGTCTCTGGTACTCGACTTCACAGTTATCAGGTCCGCTTGTGTAGTCTGACCCCAAGGTACAGCTTTTGTCGGGTTGTGATGGTGTTTGTAAATACATGTTGCAATGTTGTTCCGAGACTGCTGCCCCAAAGCATCAGCCAAGGCACCTGCTGGCTGTGTTGAGAGTCTGTTACACACACGCCGTGTTTCTGCCTCGGACGTGTGCGCAGCGTCTTTTTATAAATCTACAGACATTCCTGGGTGCTTACAAGGCATTGGCCCGACATGCGTTGGATATTCGGATGATGTTTTTTGGACTTAAGCCGAAACTGCACGCACTCCACCACATTCTGTGGGATGTGAAAGAAGCACTCCGTTCGCCCGCCCCTCTGGTGCTTAATCCTGTCGTTTTCAGCTGTGATGGAAACGAAGACACGGTGGGGAAAGTTTGCACCGTGGCTTTATCAGTCAGCACACGCACAATCAACTTGCGTGTGCTTCAAAGATATTTCTTGAAGAAGTCCGCTGTGGTGAAGCGGCACAAGGCAGCTCGCCAGAGAGCAGGGCTGAGAGCTTGAGCCGAAGTTGATTAGACATTCACGTAAACCCTTGACCCAAAAGCCCTAGTTTCTGAACCCTAAACCTTAAGGAAGCACCGAGGCTTGGTTGATTATGGGTTAAAGTGTATCTTAAACTCCCAAACCCTAAGCCCTGAACCCTAAACCCAAGGGTCGAAGGTTAAGAGACTCAAGCTTCCTGCTCCGGCTCTTGAGACGAGCTTCGGCCACATGGGAAGCGCAGCTGCTGCAGCATTGGGACATAGCTCTGGTTGCAAAAGAAACTTCAAATCATCACTCAGCCATGGGCCTTCAGGGTCTGGTGTTTTTCAGGTCAAGGTTTGTGTTTCTATTCGGTTTGCATAGTGGTGGATTGCGGACCTTCGCCGTTTGTCGCTTCAACTGGTTTGTCGAGCACCAAGCATGCCAAGCTGACAAGCCCTAGCGTAGTGTTTCCCGCTGACTTTCCGTAGGCCCTATAACTACAAACCTAAACTATCTAGCCGGAAGCCCAAGCCCCAGTGTGCATGTCGCACGCCCGAATTTCGGGATGAGAAAACTCATAATCTGCCCAGCGATGCCGAGCCCAAACTCGCTTCGAGGCCTGAAGCCTTCAACCCGTAACCGATCTTTCCAACAGAATAAGCACCAATCTTGAGCCCCAGCCCAGACATCGAACCAATCCGAAGCTCGGACACCTGAGTATCGAACCCAAATGATTCAGGGGATCAAGGGTCTTTAGTTTCGGCTTCAGAGGACCATGGGTTGCTATGACCCGTTCGGCTAACTTCACTAGCCTATCCAGCCTTCCCACTGTCTGAGCCTCCCTGTAGTACGCCCGTCAATGACTCGCAACTAGTGGCGTTCATAATCATAATATTTCTGTTGCCAATACTGTCGATTACGGTGTTGATGTGGATGGCTATGAAGACAAGACTGATGATGATGACGATGGTGATCCTGATAACAATAGAGATGATGATGACGATGAACTGACGATGGTGATGACAGTGATTGTAAGGATGATGCAAAGCGCTAACCATGGTGACGACGATGCTGAACACAATGATGATGATGATGATGATGTAGATTAAGATGAAGATAAAGATGAAGACATAAAGATGCAGATGACGATCAATGTAAGATGCTGATGATGATGATGATTACGGTGAGTGCGATGACGATGACAGTATGTGCGCGTCCTGAGCATCAGCATACTAACACACACACCCACAGTTTGCGGCGTTTCCTGTTTACTTGCGGCGTTTCTTCTTCTGTAGCTTCTACCAGAAACTTCTTTCGGCAGAAAAAAATAACGGAGGCAGAAAAGATAAGTTGAGGCAGAAATAAACGCCGCAATGCAATGAGGCGGAAATTTCCGCCGCAGGAGGTTACAGGTATGAGGCAAAGGAGTTGTGACCCTGAGCTCTCAGCCCGCGTTAGGTGCGAGTTTAGAATCCCTGGCATGCCCACAATCTGGTGACACCCAAAGAGTAGTCTTAGCATATAGTTACTAAAGTACGTATAGTACCGGGGCCCGAGTGCCTGAATATGCGCCCATAAACCATCCTAAGCCCCCACATGCAGGTTGAATCCATCCCAGCCCCTGGGCTCTAAACCCATAACCCTAAGCCTAACCTCTGTAAGCCTTACGCCCCAAGCCCTAAACTCCGCAAAGAGTCGGATCCATTTGAGACTCGTCCTGATGGAACCACTTGCTGCGATGACCTTTGATGTCTGCGATCTCCTGGCGGAAAGTTCGCGCTGCTCTGAACCTCCTTGGAGCCTAATGTAGGGTTTTTTCTGGGGGCTAGGGATACTCTACGGGTTCCAAGGCAATGGCTTTACTGGGCTTAGTGTTGGAGGACCATGGGACGTAGTACATAAGGCTGTAGATACCTTAATTTGGGTTGGGCTTGATTATACGTACAGCTGCCTTATGTATACAAGCAGAGTCCCATGAGCCTCTAAGTAGGAGCTTAGGCTTAGGGCTTTAGTGTCATTTAGGTGCCTAGCTCTAGACACAAACCAGTTCTCACCACATCTGAAGGCTGAGGGTGGAGGGTTCAAAAAGTAACACTTGAAGGGTCCATGTACCAAAGTCAATATACAGGCACCGCTTTAAACCTAGGTATGTACTATGTGCTGGAGCTTCGGGTTTATAGGACTGTCTTTCCATTCAGAGAACCCCCAGGGCAAGTATCCTATACCATAAAGGGCACAGTGTCTATGAGCGAGTCTTATGCTTCCATAGTCAAGCTTTGGGTCTCGAGGTTGGGTAAAAAGTTAAGCGCGATAAGGGTCTTATACAGTTGGAAAAGGGTTTCGGGGTATATTGTAGTCTCATTAGGGAACTCTACGGAGTTATATGGAATACGACTACCACGCGCTTGATCTGGTCCTTGACAACCGTCTGGAGCTGCTGTGGCGCAGCTCCGTCCTGCAAGGGCGCATGCCGCCGCACTGCAGCTTCCCAGAGAGCCCCCCAATCAATTATTAGGGTTGAGGCTGAGGGTTTACATAAGGCATACTATGTTAGTTCGACGAATGAAACTACATTCCTCATTTTTTGCCTCACATTCCTCATTGATCTCTTGGGTTGGTAAGATGATCACCAAGGCACATATTGCGCAACGCCCCGCACCTAGCTCGATGTCCCAAAGCCACCCACCCTCTTCGAAACCTTAAGCCATTGTCTAAACCTTAAATCGAGACTCTGTGGCTTTCAAGCTTGGATCCACTATGGGCTTGGAGCCAGGCTAGAACCACGGCGGTGTTGGAACTCGTTCCCAGCAAAGAACGCTCCACACACCTCCCAGTCTGCATCCCTGGTATGACAAAATGGACTCTGCAACCCAAAACACAAGCTGGGGTAGGAACAGAAGCCACAAATTACCAGGCAGATTAGACCTAACCGCATCAGAGCAGACTCCTACACCCTTGGTGCTCATCTTGAGCTATGCATGCAGCCTCATATGCCCATGATCTTAGGGTTGAGACCCCTTCCCCCGGTGTCCGTGGGTGTCTGATTCTTCAGGAGCTTGCTCCATCTACCAGGCACGGAGATGTTCGGATTGTTCATGGAGTCCTTGGCTCGTTCTCTTTGTCTTGCTCTATTGGCTCAGGCTAAGGTGTATATAGAGCTTGCAGGGTTTGGGGTTACGGGTAGGCCCTGACTCCTTTCACTGGTGGGTCCCGAAACGCCAAACCTTGCTTCGTTGGGATTTCCAGTGTTTTGAGGGGGTTTCTGGGGCTTGGGACGACCTTACTACCCCAATAAGCATGGAAACACAAAGAGGAAACCTCCAGAACCCCATACTCAACCACAATCCCAACACATAAGAACAGCAATAAGCTTCAAGACCTGACTAAGTTTGAAGGCTATGTAAGCGGTGAAGGACTTAGAAGCAAAACCGCGAAAGGATGAAGGACAGGGATCTCGGAGGACTTCTCTTGCAAGGGTTTAGGTTAACCCTCAAACCACACACACCGCAGGCACAGGCTACTTATTTTACTCACCTCGTGCCAAAAGGGGCTACCAAGTACAGCTATACAACGGCAGTAGTCAGAACATGCTTTATATCCTGACACCCCTCCATGGCCAGCTGAATCCTTGAGCTGGACAGCTGACCTGCACTACTCACGGGTTGCAGTCTGTACAAGGACCAAAGCCTCTTTGCGTAGCCTCAGCCCTCTGCAACGTGTACGGGTTTTGGCCCAGGTGTCTACAGTGTCTCCTATGAAACTTCTTGCCCTTACGGGTGACGTAGACGGGGCTACCCGCATTCGCCTCTAGACCTCGTCGGTCCACGCGGCCTCCAGCTGTAGGGGCCGGCTTCGTTGAAACACGTGGCGTGGTCCACCACACAAACGCAAACTTGATCCATCGCCAAATGGTCTGGATCGCCAAGATATGGATGATCAGCATGTAGATGAAGAAGGAAACGTCTTCAGTCTCGAGCTGGCGCTCCTTCGGCTGCCCCGTAGCCACGCCAAAGGACGCGAACAGGCACGCCATGACCAAGCCCCTTGTGAGAGGCATGCCCTTGACTAGCTCTGTCACTCTTGAGCCTGAAAGAGCTTTCGTGCCCAAGTCGGCCCAGTTACTCTTCGTAGGTTCCTTCTGCACCGTAAGCTGCTTTCTCTGAACACAGTCCTGTATCCAAAGCTCCTTCATGGACAAGTGCTTCACCTTGCCCGAGCCCTTGCGTGTCGCGATTCCCTTCGCTGCGCTCGAATCGGTTCTCAGGGTAAGCTTCAAACCCTTAAACCCAATCCGTTCCCAGATCTGCGCTGTCAGCAGTCCGGCGGCAGCTCCTCGCACCAACGCGTAAAACTCAGCCTCTCCAGAGCTGAGCGCTATCACCGATTGCTTGGCACACGAAGCATCGATGAGATGCTTCCCAAATCTCTCAGCGTAGCTGGACATAGACTTGCGCGTGCGCTTGCACGCTCCCCAGTCCGAGTCCGTAAGCACCACAGCTTCCTCAGGCTGCTCCTGGTACTCGTAGTGCCAAACTTCCTTCGGGTACTTCAGAAGGTAACGGCCTAGGTGCTTGAGCTTGAGCTCGTGTTCAACCGTAGGCTTTGCCATGCCAGAGGTGATCTCCGACAAGGCATACTGGATCGTCGGGCGATCCTGGGACAGGTAAAGCGCAGTACCAGCGAGTCTCCGGAACTTCGCTGCAGCCTCAGCGTCCAAAGGATCTTCGAGATCCCTGCGGCCTTTCCCACATTCCGTAGAACATGGGGCGTCTGCGCTCTTAGCGTCCGTAAGCCCGAGCTCCTCAACGATCTGCCGCGAGTACTTAGGATCAGCTTCCCAAGTGAACCCGCGCTCGCTCCATCGAATGATGCGGTGCAGATGATCGCCATGCGTGGTCTGGCCTCCGAACTCCTCAGGGCCAATCCGTGGCAATATCTTGCTCTCAAAGGATTGCATCATCAGCGCATCCAGTCGATCCAGATCGTCGCTTTCGCCCTCAGCGATAAAGTCGTCGCCGTGGCAGCTCAAGGTCACACACCACTCGTCGTGGTAGAAGAGGCCAGGGATTCCTGGAACCTCCCAGAAACCTGCCTCCGTCATGACCTCACACACGCGCTTTGACCACTGTCGCGAAGCCTCACGTGTGCCATTCATGGCTTTGAGCAAGTACCAGAGCTTCGATTGATCGAGATCTTTCGGAGGGACGACCGCAATTTTGCCCGTGGCCACCGCATGAAAGAAGGCAACAGAAACATCATACCGGGCAATAAGCTTGCGCCGGTTGGTCCTGCCAGTCTTTGCAGTGGCTGCAGCTGAAAGTACCATGCGGTGCGTCCGCAACGGCGGTGTTCCACTGAAAACGTCGTCGCGCTCGTGGTCGTTGATCTCTTGGGCTACGCAGCGGCTGCGCACCCCATTTGGATCATTGGGCAATGGTTTCCAACCATCCACCCACCGGCTTCGGACTATCTTTAGCCCCTGCCGTCGCGCCTCCTCCCAAGAGATGTCCTTCTTGACAGAGTGTTCCTCCATCTTGTCCAGCTCGCGCCCTCTTGCAGTCTTGACCTTGTCAACGGGAAGGGGCTGGCCTGTTCGCTCGTCGTAGGCACCAAGCTCCTCCACTCTGCCGTCCAGAGGGTAAGCAAACAAAGGCTCCCACTCGCCTTTCTCGTGGAGCGTGGGCAGTCCCCCCATCAACTCCTGGTCCTCAAGAGGACGCTTTTCACCTCTTGCTTCTGGCGTCTTCTGCTTCTTCGCTCCTTGTGAGCTCTTTCCAGTAACGCGGCGCTGCCCGCTGTCACTTGAAGGAGCGGGGACACCCGCATCCTCAACCTCTCGCTTCTGGCCTGACTTAGCCTCAGAGGTCCCCTCCATGGCCCTTGGCCTTGAAGGCTGACTCGGCTCGGTGCTTCCCGACTCCAAGTCTTGGCCGGTGCCCTGGGGCATCTCGGCCTGACCTCCTTCAGTCTCCATGGGTCCCGCAGGCGTCCCAGGGACTGGTGTACCAGGCGTGCCTGGCACCGGTTGTCTCGGGTACAACTTCTCGAACCTCTTACGGCACTCGTCGTTGTGCCGCTTTGGGTTGTCGTCATCACACTCACAGCCAGGACATCCAGGTGTCTTGCCGTGCTTGATCTGACGCTCCAAGGTGATATACACCGAGGGCTGCCTGCGACCTGGAGTCGCTGGGGCCTTGTTGTCTGAAGGCACGGTAGTTGGCTCTCCGCGCGGTTGCCAGGGAAGCCCAACCATCCCCTCGAGGTGTTTCAGCTCCCACCTCTTCTCTTCTGGCCTTCGCCAGATGCTTCTGCACCGACGGATCCCCTGAGCAGTGCCCAGGAAGTGCTCGTCGGAGGCAAGAGACTTGCCTAGCCAAACTCCAACTGACGTTTGCTTGTCCAGCTTGCCAGTCTTCTCTTTGTCAAGCTTGTAGTGCACGACCTCGCAGCACTCAGCAACTTCACCGCGGAAGTCCCGGCCTCGAAGCCTTTCGTAAGGTGTTCTCCCGTCCTGCTTCACCAAGAAACGGGAGATGAGCCACCCTGCGTGCCGCACCAACCACGGAAAGACAACCCCCTCAGTCTCCAGGGGCTTCTTGTAGCGATTCTCCAGCGCGCTCGCAAGAGTTCGCACCTGACGCGCCAGCTCCAAAATGGCTCGCTCGGCCGCGCCGTTAGATGCGTGAGAACCTTTCGGTGCAGTCTGGTGCTGCACGCTGCCAGTCCAGGACTTGGCGGCACTTTCAGCAAGTGCCCGGATGCTATGCTCAGCATCGCTCATCATGATGACCTTTTGGCGCCCGCAGAACTTGAGCGCTTCAGTCACCAATCCAGTGGCATACGGGTTAACACCCTTAGCCACCACACCAGAGAAAACACAACCGGACTTTTCGTCCACGATCACCAGAATGGGAAGGAGACCATCCTTCTCATCCTGAGGCACCTTGACCTCCTCCACGGAGTTCACTGGGCCCTTCAAGGCCCGTCCCAGAAAACAGTAGTCCAGGGAGATGCGCGCCACCTCCGACGCGCGACCGCTGGGCTCCCGAGTTGAGTGCGCATCCTCACGCACCTTGCCGTGCATGCAGTGATCGCACCAGCTTCGCATGGGCAGATGCGTAAGCATATGCTCGTCAAACTCGGCTTTGCTAACCGTGTCCGGGATCTTCTTTGTCTTCGGCCGCCGCGTGGCCTCAGACACTTCCATTGGCACGTCGCCAATCTCCGGAAGCCTCTGGGCGGGGCCACCCGCGCCAGGGCCGTCAGTAGAACTCCCTGCACCGGCGGAGTTATCCGCACCAGGGTTCGCAGCGGAACTCCCCGCATCGGCGGGGCCGCCCGCACTTGAGCTTTGGCCAGGCTGAGCGGAGTCACCCGCTTCACCAGGCTCCTCGCCTTCACCTGCCAGCGCCTTTGCTGGCACCGTCTTCTTAGCAGCCCTCGTAGCTGCTAACACGTCTGGGTCTTCAACCCTTTCACTTTCTTTCACCACGTTCACTGGGAGCCAAAATACCCCTCTCTTCTTTCTGAGTTGCATCGTGTCTTTGGTCTCTCCTAGGGCTTTCCTAAGCTTACACGCATGCTTATCTAGAACCATACACTGCACACCGGGGCCAATCACCGTCCAGGTGCCTTTCGTGGCCGCTTGGCCAGCAGAAAGCACCGAAAACCTAACCTTTTCAGATTCGGCGTACTCTACCGAAAAGGTCCCAGCACTGGTTTCGAGCTGGCTCCTAAGCCTCTGGTCGCTAGCCAAGGGCTCACCCGTAACGGTAACCATTCCAGGCCCCGAAACACGAGAACCCAACAAAGCACCGGAGTCAAACCCTTTCCGAAACAGGTGAGACCCTGCCCCCGTATCTACAAGAACCTCGGTCTCACTGGCCTCGGTGCTGGGCGTTGCCGCCACCACACCAAAGCAAAGGTCCGGCTCCTGGGGCGATGCAGACATGGGCTCTGGTTCTTCCTCGCCCTCAGCGGGGCTAGCCGCATGAGGTGTGCGGTTCTTCCCGCCACCTTTTGCTTTAGCTTTGGGCTTGGCTTTGGCATCGGCTTGTTTCTTGCGACACTCGGCTTCTACATGCCCTTTCTTATGGCAGTACCAACACTCACGGTCCTTGTTGGGGTTTGCGCCTTGGGGCTTTTGCTTGTCTGAGCCTTGGCCTTTACCCCCTTTGTCGCCTTTGCCTTTGCCTTTGTCTTTGCCCTTGCCCTTCTCTTTGCCCTTTTTCCACGGTGCAGCTCCAAGGTCCATAGGCTGCGGAAGATTCTGCAGGACGCGGTTGGTCCTCGAAATCTCCAAAAGTTCCGCCTTCACATCCGTAAAGGATTTGAGCCGGCTTGAGTTCCGGATGATGTGGCTTTGCAGGCTGCTGTCCTTTAGCCCATTTACCACAATGCCCAAAAGCATCTCCTCATCCAGTGTTTTGCCGCTCTCCTGTTCATACCTCCGAACGCTCTTTTCGAAAGCCGCTAAGTCCCCCTCAACATCATCACCAAACTTGCTTGAAAGCAACGTTGTGAGAGTGCCCACATAGCGTGACGCAACCCTCGGGTGGAACTCCTCAAAGATGCGCCGGTAGGATTCAAGACCTTCTCCGAGGCCTGTGTTGTAAGTGATGTCAAGCGGCCTACCGCGCAGGAGCATCACCAAGATATAATAGAGTTGGCAAGAAAGGTCCCGGTCCACATCCGAAAGAGCCCTGTTTGGGAAGCTCTTCTTGGAAAACTTTGCTTGCTCCAGCAGGTCAATGTACCTCGAGTCGATGCAGCTAAGGTAAGACTCAAAGATGAACGACCAGTCACTGAAGCTTTCCTCCGTGGACCCTTTGAAAACCTCGGGCTTCCCGAGTTGCCTGGTGTCTACCAGGCCGGCCCTTGGGGCCGGTGGATGGCTTGGGCCCGGCATGTCGGTATCGAAAGTGCTCTGCCTTCCCCGGGCCGCCAATCCTGACGCTTGCAGCTGCAACAGCTGGGCCTCCTGAGTCACCAGCCTGTTGTTCATTTGCTGCAGCATCAGGTTAGTTTGCTGCAACTGCTGCTGGAGCTGCTGCTCCAGCGGAACCTGGCCCGCCTGTTGGGCCATCTGGGGAGCTTGGGGGGTCCCAATCAACCCCGCTTCCATCTCCATCCGAGCTCTCACTGCTCTCCTCGTCCTCCGTCAGGAGAGGAGCTGATGTGGCCTTTGGTTTGGCCTTGCTCTTTCGAGCGGTCCCCTTTGGTCGGGGCTCGGTGCGGTGCCGATTGGCCTCCGCAACCCTTTGGGCCAATGCCTTAGGAGAAAACCTCCTAAGCACGTAGTTGCGCACAGCCGGGGCGGCCTTGCGACGCCTGGTCCTGCAGGTACTGCAAGCTTCGCCGACCCGCTGCCTAAGCAATACCTCGCCCACACTGCCCTTAGGAAGCCTCTTCCTGATCGCCTCCTGGGTCTCCACTCTCTCTCGGAACCTCTGCTGCGCAAAGCGAGCGGATTGCTCGGTCAGGAACTCCTCTAAGTCCCTCTTGCGCCCCGAAGCCTGCTTGCTTCGTGTCGGCGCTACCGACCTCAGGACCCGATTTGCCTGAGCCTCCCGAGGAACCGATCGAAGGTCGAGGCGGCTCCTTTCCTTCCTTCGTCGCCTCTCCTTCTTCCACTTGATCTTCTCGTACCCAGCCTCTGTCTGCCTGGGCTTCCTTGGTTGGCTCTTGGCCGCGGTCGTCCCGAGGATCCGGTCTCGCTCCTGAGCCTCCTCCAGGCTATAAGTTAGAACCACCCGCCTCGGAGTACGACCTCGGCCCCTTGCCTCAGCTGACCCCCGGGCCGAGGGATCAGCGGCTGCCCTGTGGCTTCTTGGTGGCTCCTGCCGCTCCTCAGCGGCTGCAAGCCTTCTGGCCTGCCCGCGGTCCTGCCTCCTAGAGGTGGCCGCTTCACTTCTTTTCCCCCTCTTGTTCTTCTTCTTGGTCACCGGCTTTCCTTTGCCGCGACCTCGACCCGCCGTCTTGGCGGTCTACCTGCTGCCTAAGCAGCACTCGGGAGGACTATGCTCCCACACCAGCGCGGATCGGCCCGCAGCTGGTTCCTGTGACGCGGGACTTCCCGCGGTCACGTGTGGTGCGGGGCTGACCCGCAACCACCAGGGAGCGGGGCTTGCCCGCGTCCCTTACCTTCGCGGGGCGACCCGCAGAAGGTGAGCACGGAGTCCCTTAGACGTCCGGCTCCGCTACCATGCAAGGGTTTAGGTTAACCCTCAAACCACACACACCGCAGGCACAGGCTACTTATTTTACTCACCTCGTGCCAAAAGGGGCTACCAAGTACAGCTATACAACGGCAGTAGTCAGAACATGCTTTATATCCTGACATCTCTTGAAGGGTCAGGGGATGTAGAACGAAGATCAGGACTGGGATTATACGGTGGGCTAGTTGTGGTCATCAAAGCCCACTTCTTATGCAATGCTACTGACAGGGCTTCCAAGCTTCTTACACGAACAAGTCGTGATATTCCAGGTCTTGTTGAAGGACTGGGGGCTGTTGTCTGCAGCACTGGTGGGTGTGGGTTTGGGCTTGGGGACTGAAAGGTACTTTGAGATGAGTCGCGGCGAGCTTCATTACGAAGATCGAGATCTCCTCCTCCAACTTGGTGGCTCGGATGGAGAGCTGGCGCGCTTGCTCCTGAGCTTCAGGCCTCATATGGGAGTTTCCAAAAATGAGGGATCCTAGTATAATATTCGAAATAGTAGGATCATTACTATAAGGACCCCAGAATAAAGGTACCCGGAATTTGCGGAAACTCCCAAATCTCGGCAGTAAGTACGTTGAATTGTAACATGTTATAGAACTGCTGTAGCTCTGTTACAACCCGATACTGTCGGGTGCACTTCCTGAATGCACTCCATAGACCTGCCTAAACCTTTTAGATCCAATAGATCCAAAACCATGAGGGGGCATGATACTGAACAAAAGCGCCTTTCGTATATCAGTACACCTGTACAGGAACTGCACGGATTACGGTCCCTTAATATTCAAACCCATGCATTCGACCACATTCTTCCCTAACCCCTACACCCTAACCCCGTATTTGACGATCTCCGACCCGAAACCGTGAGGAGACAACAAGGTCAGGCACCAAGTCCTCTGCGTCTCTGGACGTGGTGACGGTTCGGTCGCCTTCGTTAATGTTTGTGGTTTTGAGTGCCTTGTGTTCAGGTGTTAGACCCTTTTTGTTGTTTGGGCTCTTTAGGTTCCGCGAATGCTGCAGCAATTCTTGCTGCAGAGTTCTAGCGCTTGCAGGGCCCTCTTTTAACGGGAAGTGGATGTGGTTGTGCTTGCCGGTTGAAGGCAATGCGCCTTTGATAGGACTTAAGCGGCTTTGTATCAGCGTGCGATGCATTTTGCAAGGTCCTGGTCCTGGTGCAACCCTGTGGCACATCTTGGTCACCATGCTTCATGATCTTTACGCGTCGCTAAGCTTCAGCGACGTGGCCGGGGTTTACCCCGAAAGACTAAAACTGCACGAAAGTCCAAAGGCTTGCAGCTGCGGGCATTCTTGTACTTTCAACGTAGTTCCTTTTTTGCTGTCCACTGCGTAACTAGGATGCGTTCCTGGAAAACAAGACAACCAACCGGAGCTATTTACATTAGATCCCTGGGATATAGAGCAAGCTATGACGGGGGGGGCGAAGACTGGCGCAACAACCCGATCCCTTTTGGAAAGCTCAAGCTTCCTGACACCTGCAATCGGGATTGAAAGGCTCTGCCTTATCCTCGGCTCAAGGTTTAGGGTTTCGGGATCATGCAAAGACACGGCTATGTGCATTTAATGATCCCGTCTGGAAGCCTCAAACCCCGAACGTTAGACATTGCAAAAGTGCCTTGCAGCTCCCAACAGGCCTTGCTGCACTGTACCGACCCAACGCAGAGTGACATCAGTCCGAGAACACAAGCGATAAAGTTAAAACCGTGCGGCCTTGCTTAGTGATCTCCTGAAGGGCCGTGGTGATGGCACTCCGGATGCTGTGGCAGGCACAAAGCCTTGCGAAGATCTCAGGGGCCACTTTACAGGGCTGATCAAGGCTCGACAGATGTGTAATAACCTTATTACAGTAACCATATCATAGTAACCTTATTTGTAGTACCCTTATTTTCGTGATTACCTTCGTTATAGTACCCTTACTAACCTTCTGGTAGCCAGACGATCTCTTGGCTTGGTCTGGAATTTCGGGCTTGCGGGATTCACAGACTGGGGCTTTTGAGGCTTCCTGGGTTTATAAAGTTTAGTTGAGGGTTTCGCTCACCCTGAAGCTGGAAGCCCACCAATCATACCAGTATTGATGGCAGGGAGAAATCTGGCAACTAGACTCAACACGAGCAATACTGATATTATCAAAAGTAGCAATGAAGGTGCTGATATGAATATGAGGATAGTTGCTTCAAACCCGGCGGAGAACAGTACACCCGATAGCCTCTAAACTACTGAGTTCAGCTGCATCCTTGCTCAGGGCCAAGGGTACTAGGGTGCTTTTTCCAGGGTTTCGGGTTTAGTTTAGGGCCTTGAACTCAGGATGCCGGCTGAGTCCATGTGCACCATGTCTTAGACTTTAGGCCTTAATTCGCAGATTTATGGTGCTTGTTCCTGATTCTGTGTATGGTTTAAGCAGCTGAACATCTCCGGCACACCACTACGAAAAACGTGCCAAGAAATCCGCTAAAATGCAACTCGGCAACTGTGCCCGATGATTATGAAAACTCGATTTGTAGGGTATGCACTCTCAAGGATGCAGGGCTTAGGGTCTAAATACGGTGGTTTGCTACTGTACAAAGAGAACGGCCACAGTGCCTTGTATCGGGTTGTCCGGGTTGACGCCTATCATCGTTGAAGGTGCAGGGTGTAAGACAGTGTAATATAGGGCCGAAATAATAAGAATAGGGTTTTGGAGCCCATTATACTATAATCATAAGAAGGACCACACCCAAAATAATATAGGTAATTATTGAGGCCCCTATATTAAGAGCTGCTTTGGCTTCCGGCGCATGCCCTTTCGACCCTAACCCTGTCATGCGCTACAAACCCGGAATGCCCAATAGACCCTCTCATCGCAAAGCCACATTTCAGAACACGGGAGAAAATCTCATGTAGACACCTACCAGTCGACACAAGGGTCCCATGAATCACTCTCTAAACTCCAAACCGAAACCTACACCCTATACCACCAAAAAACCTTAACAACTTTAGTGTCCCTTGTAAATCCCAAAGCCCCCTTGACAAACACCAAACATCTCCAAACACCAAAGCCTTATGGAAAACCTAAGAGCCCTGTGTGTATATGTGTATGTATGTATATGTATATATGTATGTATATATATATATATATATGTATGTATACATATATATATATATATGTATAAAAATATATATCCCTCCATTGAATCGAGTTCAAACATAGCCTGGCCATGGCGGGCTTCGGCATGCCTCGGCCACGGGACTCTTTGCTTCCAGAGGGTTCAAGCCACCCCCTTGGGGTTCCCCTTGCAGGGGATTCCATTTAGGGGGCTCCTTCAGGTCTGCCGGGTTTCGGGGTTTTTTGACACTCACTCTCGGACTAGCCTGGCAAGGTCTGCAGAGATAGGTTCGACGAAACTAGATGAGTTTCCTGAGCAGTCGGTATCACCAGCCCAGGTGGCTGTCAGACAAGACCAGAAAAAAGCCCAGCAGCAAGTACACAAGCATAAGAATCGGTCTCAACTGACAGCAGCCCCCCAAAGAGTAAACGCTAAACCAAATAGACCCCACGACCTAGTTGCACTCTCCGAGGGACCAGTGAAACAAATGACTGACAACTAGCGGCTTGCACTATACTCTTCAACCGGCGATTTGTCACATGACATGTCTCGAAAACCAGCATGCAGCACGTCTCGACCACAATTCCCATGCAGAATGTCCCTGTCGAAGGTTTCAAACTGTCAAGCATGCACGTGCCAACTCCAGCCCAATTCTTCCGCGACACCGCAAAGTGAATTCCAGAATTGCTCATCACCCAGACTGTAGGCCAGCAAACCCACGTCCAGGGAAGCAGAAAACAAATGCACAGCAGGCAGGATTGATCCCTCCTCACCCAATTCTCCATGCAGCTAGCCCGCAACAGAACGAGGAATTCACGAATTCCACCACGCAGTCACCAGGACTTCGGCATGCAGTCAGTTGCAGTCCAGGTAGATGTATGTATGCAGGCCACTCCAGCAGAAGAAACAGTCCAACCCAGAGCTGGATCCAGACAAGCAATCCAAATTTCCAGAATTCAATACGCAGAGCGAAAGCTGCCCTTGCAGGAAGAGCTCATACAGACCAGTATGTATCAAACCAAACCAGCAAAAAGTTGCACTGAATTCCAAGTCCTCATCAAAAGCTCATTCCAGACATGCAGTCCAAACATGCAGTCCAAATCTCCAGAAATCACCATGCAGAGCTGCCCATGCATCAAGAATCATGCAGTTCAGTATATAGCAGACCAAACCAGCCAGCAAGATGCACCAAATTTCAGACCCCCATCCCGATTCCAGGTTCACATGGTCCGTGCTCTCCATGAAAACAAATTCCACATGCAGGCCCAAAACGTACTCAGCTCCGGATTTGATGATACTGCTGCGTCGGCGCCAGGGAAGCATCAACGTACAGATACCACGTGCGGGTTCGAATTCGCATGTACGTCTCCAAAAGGTCCGCGTAGAACTCCGCCGGGGGCTTCCGCGAAGTTCGAAGATGAGACTGCAGTGTCTCCTCACACCTCTGCGCCAGTCTTCTCCAATAGGAGGCCACAAACGGCAGATGGTTCAGGTGTGCCATTCCCGGCGTATTTCGAATGTCATCCAGGAAACCCAGTATGTTCTGAGCGAACAATCTGGGGTTGGCGGAATCCTCCAGCATTTCAGTGAATTCCTGAATTCCAATCCCATCATCCATCCATGCAGGCAAACGTCGGTAAAGACCAAAGGTCATGGCGCAACAAATGGAGGTGAAACAAAGATTCACTATGTCCGGGGTCTTACTGCAAAGAAGGACATTGTAAGGTAGGAATACAACAGGTAAAAGAGTACTAATTAACCCAGGCGAGCAGGCGGCAGGCAGCAGCATCCGTCACCCATCTTCAACTCATTGGCGTCTTACACACAACAACAAGTTCAGGGTTCACCGGTTTCCTTACGCCTCCTGACTGTCCATGACTTCGATCACATCGTGGCAGTCCCTTCGAGAGGGCTGTAGCTGCAGGAACTCGTGTAATGTGAGCTGCTTTAACCTGGGAGCTTCTTCTAGGGCTTCTTTCAGGTCAGTTTTGGAGTTAATGCGAAAGCCAAGATTGAGAAGTTGGTCGATGACTTCCGAGCAGAGGGAACCTAAGTTGATGGAGTTGAAAGCCACGAGTACAACTCGCTGCAAGGGATCAACATGGGGAGGTACATAACCAGCGTGAAGAGATTTGCGGGCATTGAGTAAGTAGGGTGTGTCAATAGAAACTACACGACCTCTAACTTGGGATCCTAGGTGTTCCATGACCCTCTCTCCACATGGGTCCTGCACCCAGAGGCCTGCTCCTGGCAGCGGGGGCGAAATTTGCATTACTAGTGATTGATTGCCTCCATTGTTGGTATCCCGGTGAGGCCTAGACTTGCAACCTCTGAAGAGAATACAGCAAGTAAATCTGAAGCTCGGTGCTACATAAGCAATCAACTTGGTCATGACGAGGGTCGTGAAAGGCATTTCGATTGAAAAGCTGAACAAACACCGGGAATTACGAGGGTTGGCCCCTGTGCCAAAGTATCTCGTTCCATCCTTGACCCCTCTCCTCAGATATGAGTTTGGGATCATGCAAAACAGGTTAAAGACATCCTTGGGCGTAGGGGGCCTAGGGTGTCGCAATAACAGAAGTGCACGAAACTCAATCGGTTTGAGGAGAGGATCATCGCTCAAGGCAAAGGGTGGGTCGAGGGGGCGTGTTATCATAGAACTCCAAGGAAGGTCAGGGGAATATCCCGTGCGTTCGACAGTGAGCCCAACGTCATCATCGGGGTCTGTCTCAGTTGTTGCCGGTTCGTCATCGATCACCATGGGGGGTGGTGACTGAGGGACCAGGCAGGGCAAAGGGAAAAGCTCGCATCGGAACACCTTGAAACCAAGAAAGCAGAAGTTGCCCCAACAGCTTCGTTCAACAATCCTGGAGCCAATACGGAATCACCACGCAGTAAGAAAACTCCCCTCAGCAGCCTCGGTCCTTTCTTTTAAGATCACCTGCCAGTGCTTGACAACGCCTGAAGGCCGTTAAGTGTCGGCACAACATCGGTTTCCAGCACCGATCGAAGGTGTGAAAAGGACATCTTGACTTGACTTTCATTGGTGTCATTATTAATTACTAAAGCTTTGGCATGAAGTGTTTGGTCCTCACATGCTCTACGAATTCTCTTGAAGTTTGCATCATGCGCTTCCAACTGTTCGACGAAATTGTCCATGGAGGCTTCCACTTGAGAGATACGATATCCCAAATCATGCACAATGGTTTTGAATTCTTCGCCAAATTGTCTGATGAGGGACTCCACATCCTCTCGTTGCCGAAGCTGCTGTGCCAGGGTTTCGCCAAGTTTGCGATCGTTCATTCTCACCAGCTTGAGGATGTTGTCACACAAGTTCTCAGAGAACAGTGTTCCCTCCACAATAACCCCAGCAGTGGATTTTTTCGGTTCCACTAAAGAGGCCTCCAACAGCTGAAATACATGCAGGATTCGCGTTGTGCCAAAGATGCAACATGCAAAGCCTGCTGACGGGCAAATTCCCAAAGTTTGTGCAGACACCAAACCAGCAAAACTGTTACGAAAGCATACCATAGTGTAGGAACATCCATGGCGCATGAAGGTACGGTCTCAGGGAAGCTCGATGCTACAAACAGGACCGGGCTTGAACACTAACAAAGCAGGTACATACATGCACTGATTCTAGCTGCGAAGTTAGTCACGACTTGCAGCATACAGTCACAACAAGCACGTCTTTAACCGGAGACTCAGGAGGCTCGGAGTATGTTGGTGGCCGCAAAAGCCAATATGTGCAAATCCGGGTTGTCCTCCAGAGGATCATCCTCCCAAGGGGCAATCGGAGGAAGAATACTGCACAAATTAAACAAATCCCCCGGTGAAGCCTTAGCCCCATCAATACCCAACTCCGCGGAGATGCACTGTGCAAGCATGTCTGTATGCGTCCTCAGGTCACAGCGAAGCAAGTTCATGCCCTCCTGAATATCATCCAGCCCCGACTGTAACTTCCTTGCGGAAAGCTCGTTGGCCAAAATGTGCTGAAGGCTTCGGAACAGGGGAGAGGCTTGGTGAATTCTATGTTCGAGCCGGCGTTGAGTCGATTGAGTTGTGTCAGCAGCTTGTGCTGTGTCCTTCGCCAGCCCCACCAAGACTTGCAGCAAATGCAAGCATTCCTTAGTGGCTCCTCGAGGTGGACGGAGGTTCCCTGATACTGGGACATCTGTCGCTTCCACTGCCTCCTTATGCAATGCAAAAACAAATTCGCGAACTTCATAAAGTCCTGCGTGCAGTGATTCCATGCACTGTGCAATCTGTCGGAAGGCCAGAATCTCGTCATGTACTTCGACGAGGAGTGTGGGCAGTCTTACCAGCTTGCTCCAGTATGTTGTATCGAGGGGGAGGCAAAGTCGAATCCCCCATGTAACAATTAATATCACAAGCACAGAATTAAGAATACATATCCACGGGAGGGTTTCCATAATGAAAGTGCCGCAACCAACTTCGAGAAGAGCAGCTACAGTGATTCGCAAATTCACGACCAAACTCAAAAGACATATCCTTTCACTACACGCACCCTGCGAGACAAACTCAAGCAAACTCAAGCAGACGCACTCAGGCAGGCTTCATTTTAACGTCAGGGCAAAGTCACATGCAGTGTGTCAGCGCCTCTGTTGGGCGTTTTGCTGCTGCTGAAGTACTTGGGCCGCCGCCATCACCAAGGTGGTGAGGTCCGGGCTGGCTCCAGGTACGCCCGTGGGGATCGTAGGCACTGCAGGTGCAGCGGGAATCGTATCCACCAATGATATGGAGCAGGTTTCCTCCGAATTATGGCGTCCATGGTCATGACTTTCGCCAGAGCGACCGTACTGGCCTTGGCCATCGCCTGCACGTGAATTCTGATACTGTCCATGGCTGTCACTTGCACGTGAATTACCGTGGTGGCCGTGGTCTTGCTGTGAATTCTCCGTCTTGTACCATGCATTTACCTCATCTCGAATCGTTTTCAGTGTATCCTTGAGGTAATCAAACTTCTTGGCAAACAGTCCCTGAGGGAATTCAGCTTTGACAATCTTCAAAGCCTCATCCAGGCTGACCTGAGCTTTTGCAACTTCACCCAAGCATCTGGTGCCCAAGTCGTTACCATTGCGAATTAGTCCATCCAGTGGTTGCAACACT